GAAAGAGGCAAGGAACAGGGGCCACAGTGCAGACTCTTCAAATCTAACTGGGGAAGCAAAGTACCGCATAGGTAGAATATTCACATCAGGAAGCTCCCAAGCAGTTACTGGTTTTGGATACAAGGTTGGTGTGAATTCTCAGCACCACTGGGGGCCTGGAGAAGGGGCAGCTTTGCTAGCATAGTGAGTGACCTTGGACAAAGACCTGTGTGGCCAAGTGAATTCTCCATGTTTTCATAGGCAATCTTAATATAAAATACTTCATATATTTGTTTTACCAATCAATGTACCCCAGAAATGGCAACTTTTGCACTCACTAAACCTCCCAGACAGCCTCTTTAACCCAGTTGCAGCACAAAAATCCATTGTCACACCACAGCTTCTGACTATTGCTTGGAAAACTACAGTGGCTGTGCTTATAGTCAGGAATAACTGGTGCTGTTGTGCCTACCTTTCCTGATAATGGAGAGTACTTGGATGTTACTGTGAGGACATGGTTCTTTCAGCTCTTGGATGGGCTGCACATTACAGGTAGCTTAAAGGTGGCAACCTGGGGCCAGGCCAAGAAGAGGGCTGTATTAGTCCGTTTTCACACTGCTGATAGACATACCCAAGACTGTGCAACTTACAAAAGAAAGAGGCTTAATTGGACTTAAAGTTCCACATGGTTGGGGAAGCCTCCCAATCATGGCAGAAGGCAAGGAGGAGGAAGTCGTGTCTTAAGTGGATGGCAGCAGTCAGAGCTTGTGCAGGATAACTCCTCTTTTTAAAACCATCAGATAAATCATGAGACTTACTGTAGTGAGAACAGTATGAGAAAGATTTGCCCCATGATTCATTACCTGCCATCAGGTCCTCCCCGCAACATGTGGGAATTCAAGATGAGATCTGAATGGGGACACAGCCAAACCACATCAGGGCAAACTCCCCAAGAGGAATCACTAGAGGGATGCTGTGGCATGACTGGAAACTGCTGAGCAAATTAAGCCACACAGGAAAACTGGAACAGGCATGCCTTCATGCAGAAGGTTCCAATAGTCAGCTTTTGTGGGCAAAAGTGAGATGTACTTTGGGCTGTTAGCTCTCAAAGTAATCCAGTTTCATGAAAACTGAATTACTGTATCGATTACTTAGTGTCGAGTACTGTAACTGAGGTCTATCCCAGCTCGTGAAGCAAAATAAATTTTTTCTCCCAGTACTTGGCATCTTGTCCATTTACAATGTTTCATCAGAGGTGTGTTCTGTTCTTCCTGTGTACCTGGCTCTGTGGTTAGAAGCTGAATAAAAGTGTCTGTTCTTAGCAGGTGCACAGTCCAGTGGGGAGAGACAATAGTACAGTGATGAGGGGGATGCTGTACTAGGGAGGGCACAGGAATCTTGGAAGCCCAGCAAGGAAGACACGACACTGTGCCCCTCATGGAATTAATAATTGACATGGACAACCCTGCAGAAGACTTGGGGAAGGGGTTGAAGGAGGAGCAGCTATTGGCTAGGCAGAAGAGGCTGAGAGCGCATGTCTAGGAGCATAGCCCCTTTGGGAAGTGGCAGCAGCTCACTTTGGCACTGGTGAGAGGAGGGAGATGAGGCTATAAGTGAGGTGTGGGCTAGGCGAGCCGCAAATGGCTGTGGGAGCTGTGCTCTGGAGTTGGACGCTGTTCTGGAGATGGGAGGCAGTCAATAAAGGAAGGGTCACTCTTGGCAGAGGTAACAGCAGCTGGAGGAGGGAGCAGGAAAAGCTCCCAAACACTGCAGATAGCGTTTGCTCAAGAGATGAAGGCATAAAGTGGGACAGTAAAGATGAGGCAGAAAAGGGGGAAATTGAGAAATAGTGGAAGGCAAAATCATTAGGATGTGTGAAATGAAAGTAGGAGGAACAAAAGATGACTTTCAGGACACAGGTATCTTGGAAATGAAGAGAAAAAATCAAACTAGCCCCAGTTAGGCCAAGGGAATGAAAGATCCCACAGAGGGAGCGAATCTGTCACATATAGCACAGAGGAACATTTCCGGAGAACAGAGCCCAGATGACTGAGGAAGGATGGGAAGCAATGGCGTAGAGCCAGTGGATGTCCACAACTACATTAAAATGTCTGGCTGAGAAGGCAGCAAGAGATAATGAAGTTAGGAGGGACATGAAGTCAGTTCTTTTAAAACAGAAGACTGTCATGTGCGTGTGCACGTATGTGTGTAAAATACAGAAAGAGAAACCTGACAGAGGAAGTTTCCCGGAGAAAAGAGCTCAAAAATGCAAGAGATCAATGAGTGAGGTGTACATCAATGGTCAGGGCAGCAGTGGTGAGCCCAGGAGGGAAAGTTCTCAACTACTGAGTCCAAAGTGTGGCTAGTCCCCTGGAAGCACATTCTGGTGACGAGTGAGGTGCCAACCCAGTGCCATGGGCTGTGGAAGACTCAGAATGTAGCAGAGTGAACGCTGGGGCCTTACCCTTTAAGTTGGGTCAGTGCCCTGACCCTACCTCCCACTTTGCTTTCCACTCTTCTGTGTCCATTTCTGTAGTGCTGTCTCCGAAGTCAACCTACCACATGCAGCAACAGAAGCTACAGATTGTCATTTTTTTCAGGAATATCCTATCTAATCCCTCACCCTGCCATCAGGAGCAGCACTGTTAGTGATGATACAGCTCTGCCCCACAGAGGAACTCAGTTTGATAGGCAAGTAAGGGATGCTGGCGTCTCCCGGGAAACATGCTGTCACCTCAATATGGGCTATGTATCTTGGTTATTAGAAATAGATGTACTTTCATTGTCACAATTTTTAAATACCAATGATGTAAGGAGACAGCCTTAAGTACAGCAAGGTCTGAATAAGATTTTCCAAACTCTTCAGTAATACAAGGCCTGATGAAGAGTAGAAGGGGTGCTAACTACCCAAAGAGCTGTAAGTTCTAATCACCTTTTGAAATCTCACTCTGCTGAGATATTAGTTCAAGTCAGTACTACAATTGTTGGTGACCACCAATAGAGCCAGTGGTCACCTAAGAACTGGTTAAATTGCAAGACTGCAGCAGTGGCAGGAAATGATGTCATATGATAGTGTTAATTTTTTTCCCTGGTGCTGCAATGTAGTGGACACATCAGGAGGCAGAAAAGATAGAGGACGTGCCAGCAATTTAACATGCTCATGACCCTCCCCTGCCACACTCTCAAATTGGTAATGTTTCTGTAGACCCTGCCAGGATCACAGAAAAGGCCAGCTCTGTAGGATGCAGGAGGGGAGGGGTGCTTTTCTTGCCAAAAAAAAAAAAAAGGAAGCTCCTACTTCCCTCAACCTCCTTTCTCATGGTGGGCAATCCAAATTACGGAGCAGCTTGCCAGACCTGTTCTAAATACTCCATGAGTCGGGAACAGAAGGGGCCAATGGCAGAACCAGGAGGGCCCTTTCCTCCCCCACAGAGCCAGGAGCTGTCTCCCTTCTGCCTCCCTGTGCAGAAAATGAATGTTTATGATTCCTACAAGGGATAATGTATCAAAAGTATTAAATGCAGTTTTCTAATCATAACCTGTTCTTCCCTAATAAGATTTTCTTCAAAGGACACAATATCTTGAACAATGTATTCCAGAAATCATTAGCCACCACTACTGAAGTGACTGGGTTAGAAAGCTTGTTTCTTAATGTTACGTTTCCCACATGATGGCTAGACACTCACAGTTGGAATGTGTTTTTTGTTTTTTTTTTTTTTTTAGATAAAAATCCTAGTGCTGGCTGGGTGTGTGTGGTGGCTCATGCCTGTAATCCCAGCACTTTGGGAGGCCAAGGCTGGTGGATCACTTGAGGGTCAGGAGTTCAAGATCAGCTTGGCCAACATGGTGAAACCCTGTTTCTACCAAAAGTATTTTTAAAAAATTAGCCGGATGTTGTGGCTCACCCCTGTAGTCCCAGCTACTTGGGAGCCTGAGGCAGGAGAATCTCTTGGACCTGGGAGATGGAGGTTGCAGTGAGCTGAGACCTTCCTACTGCACTCCAGCCTGGGTGACAAAGTGAGAGACTCCATCTTAAAATAAAAACTGAAAAAACAAATCCTAGAGTCACAGGCCACACCAAATACGCATTACCATTTGCTAAAAATGGTCTGACTTTGTAGAAAAGCATTTTTAATCTACACATGGTTTTTCTGCTGTTTATCTTTCCATTTTAATTCATTCTAATATTTGAAGTGGCCATCTAAGGCCCATCTTAATCTGCAAAATCAACCAGTCGCTAAGGGCCTTCCTAGGCTGAAATGGTCAGCATGTCTCATGACCTGTGAGGGAAAGAGTTCAGATACTCCCCTCCTCCGATTTTCTTTGAAGACCTGACTATGGGAATATTGAAATGAGAGTGGATTGAAATGGGAAAAAATACTTCCAGGATTGCAACATGATTTAGCCAAATCATTGCTTTAATTTTCATAGTTAACCCCAGGAATTCCCAGTCTTCAGAAAAGACCATGATATTTCAAAGCAATTTAGTTCAGTCCAAGCAGAACCTGCAATTTCTGCATTTACACTGTCAACTGGAATTGAGTTTTCAAATGACCTGAAGATAAGTTGACACAAAACCCACTGGAATGCCTCCATTGATAAACTCATTTTCTCAGCCAGGATTTCCTAAGAAACTATCAAATGTATAGTTAGCAAGGAAGGAAGTGAGGTGTCAAGCACAGGTGGTGGGATTTCTGTGGCCCGATGTGGGCACCTCTGGAAAGGCACACGGGTAGCGATGGCATCCAGTAGTGCAGGTTCCCTCAGCGCCCAGGCCTGGCCAAAAGTGCACCAGTGAAACTTGACGCAGTTCCATCTGTGCCAAGTGCGTTCTTGGCAGCCTCATGTTGGAGGGGCAGAACTCACCCTAATGAGTGCAGAGTCAAACTTAAGGACCAGGTTAGCGTGAAAGGAAAGGGAAGCCTGGACTGAGGAGGGAAAAGGCATCCCAGATACCGGGGTTGGGGACAATACCAGAAGACAGGGAAGGGCCCGACCCCAGCACCAGGAGGGGTGCTCGCCTGCGTTCTGGAGCTTGAGATTCCTGAGTACCGAGCGGATCACCAGGAGGTTGCCCACAACGTCCAAGGCAGTGGTGACGATGAGCACCGCGGATAGCGCAGGAGCCGCCCAGGGAGGTCGAGGCTTACGGGAGGGCGGCACGCTGCCTGCCCCCGACCAGCCCGGGTGCATTACCCACCCGCCGGCCTCACAGCAGTTGGCAAAGGAGCGCAGACTCTCCTGCACTGTGCTTTGGCCACTGCGCGGCCCCGGACAGCCGCAGAGGGGGCGCAATACTGACGGGGCGCTCCCTTCCCTGCCCAGCTCGCACGTGGAAGGGAGGAGGCCAGTGGGGAGGGGTCTGGAGGAGATACTTAAGCCTGGGCAGGGGATGGAGAAAAATACAGAAGTGGGAGGACGACTTGGGATGCAGTCGTTGCAGAAAGGAGTGCGTCCCTCAGCCATGAGCTGAGGAACAGCTGGGACCGCACAGCTGACTCTGCCACCAGGAGCCCAGCCGGTGCCTGGCTCACCTCAGGCTGCGGAACATGTCTTCTCTGAGTACACAGCCACATCCGAGACCCCGATTTCCTCCACAGCGTCCCCAAGAGAAGCTATGTCCAGGCAGGGACATCCAACCCAGGTTTACAGATTGGAGAAGGTGCTAATGGCCAGGATTTCCCATCAGCTATCAAGAAGGCAAGATTTGAGGTCACATAGGGGCGGTGCAGCTTGAAAGAGAATACAACTCATAAAATGTGGGGACAAAGCCCAGAATAAAGTAGGGTAGACTGTTAAATTACAGGGAGCTGCAGAGAAAGAAAAACCTAGCTATTTTCTGCGAACTCGCTGGGTATTGTGGGGTGCGTTGGTGATGTCTCTACCGGATCCTCTAAAGCCAATACTTCAGTATGTTCATCAACATAAATTTACATAAATAGATGTATTGCCAATACTGGGAGTTATAACGTAGATTTTTAGGAGGGGTTAGGACAAGAGGCATGATTACAAGAAAGAACTCAAGTGCCCTTTATTAAAAATGTTTGAGTTGTGATCTGGTGATAATAGATAACTTCTATTGTGGGCTAATCTTATGCCAAGTGTTGTCCTAAGCACTTTTTCACACCCACTTGAATCACTAAAGTCAAAATTACCGATTTTCCTAAATTTTTGTAGGAAGTCAAGCAACCTGAACTCTCCTACACTGCTTTTATAATGCAAAATGGTACAGCCACTTTTGAAGAGCTGTTAGCTCCTAATAAAGTGAAATACACACCTATCCTATGACCGGAAGTTCCAAGAGAAAAGGAAAGTATATTTTCACAAAAAGATGTGTACCAGAATGTCCAGAGCAGCCCTGTTTATAGGAGCTCAAATATGGAAACATCCAATTTTCATCAACAGAATAATGGATCAACGTGGTATGACCATGCGATGGAATATCACTCAGCAATAAGGACAACCGACTACACAACAGCATGGATCAATCACAGATATGTTGTATGGAACAGAAGAAGCCAGATACCAAAGTAGATACACTTCAATTACGTAAAGTCCCAAATCTGGACTAATTATTTTTTTTGAGATAGTCTCTCTCTGTTGCTCAGGCTAGAGTGCAGTGGTGCAATTTCAGCTCACTGCAACCTCCATCTCCTTGGTTCAAGTGATTCCCCTGTGTCAGTCTCCTGAGTAGCAGGGATTACCAGCACAAACTATGCCCAGCCAATTTTTTGTATTTTTTTAGTAGAGATAGTGTTTCACCATGTTGGTCAGGCTGGTCTCGAAATCCTGACCTCGTGATTTCGCCCACCTTGGCCTCCCAAAGTGCTGGTATTACAGTGTGAGCCACTATGCTGCGCTGACTAGGGACTGATTAATCTATTTTCTAATAGAAATTAGAAAAGTTATTACTTTTGAGCGGTGGGTATTAAATGAACATCAAGTAACTTCTGAAATGTTATTTTTATGTAATTTTACATAAATTATATTGACCCCTCCCCTTAAAGGTGGGGGAAAAGAATGATGCAGTGGTGTGAATGGATGATGAAGGGAAGGAATAATGAAGGGAGAGGTGAAATGAGCTAATCTTTGAAGTGTGCTCATCCAAAACCCAAGGAAGGAATATTTGTTAGAGGCTTTCTTGTAGTAGAAAAGAATCAGAAGCCAGATACAAACTGAGATGAGCTTCTAAACTGGTGTGAGGAAATGAGAGAGCTCTCTCTGGCTTCTCTATTCTCGGAGTTAGAAGCTGCACATCAGCAGGATGCAGGGGAACAGTGTAGGAGGTTTGAAGACCAAAAAAAAAGGCATGAAGGAGCATTTCAGAAAGTGGGAACAATAGTAAAGTATAACAGGTGTCAGGAGCACAAATGACCCTCTGCAGCTTTAGATGATGGCTTCAAATGATGCCACTCAGCCTGGTCAGTGGTCTGCACCTTGGAGCTGCTCAGGACAAGCATAGAGAAGGCAGAGTGAATTTCTGTTAGGGTTGGCATCTACTGGGTGGGAGTAAATAACGAAGAACGTTCAAGGGCCTGGTGAGAAGCTGGATCCTGGGGTTTAAGTTAATCAGTAAATGGGCTGATGGGCTGTGAGACAAGGGAAAAGTCAAGATTGGAGGCCCTGTGACTTCAAAGAATTGTGGTGTGTGAATCAGGAAACATAAGTTGTGCTGTAAGGGTGAGTTGCTTGAAATCGAGATGTCTGAAGGGTGTAAATTCTGTTGCTGTGAAGGCTCTGAGGGTGGTGATGGGAGTGGGTCTCTGGTGGAAGGTGAGAAAAATGTTAGAGATGAGAAGGCCAAGGAACTGACGAGTAGGGAGAGGAAAGCAATGAGTCTGGAGGCAAATTCCCAGTAAATGAGGAATGACTAATAGGTCTGCGGGAGAGCAACAGAAAAGGAGAAAGACGGATAGGCAGTGTGAAATCCACACTTTCCCTGTCTCACAGGTGCAAACACATTGTGGCACTTCTCGGCTTGCACAGGCCAACATAGCAAGAGGTGAGTTGGACACAGTGTAAGTTGCCTCCATCCAGACACACCCTCTAATACACATTTGGTTAACTGAAGCGGAAACATACAAATTTGCTGTATGCTGCTTTGGAATGCAATTGTCCATAGTAGCATATCTCAAGATAGGCATAAAGAATTGGGATGTTCACCCACCAAAGAAGTCAATGCTACATCCTGGCATGGTGGACTGGGCTGTGCCTTAAGAGTCGGGGAAATGAGACAGCCACTTTGGAAGCAAGTTTGGAGATGCATTACAAAACAGCACATACCCTTGACATAGCATTGAGCAATTGTATTGCTTAGTACTTACCCAAATGAGTTGAAAATGTATGTCCATAGAAAAACCTGCACACAGATGTGTATGATGGCTTTATTCAATTGCCAAATTTGGAAGCAACCAAGATGTCCTTCAGTAGGTGAACAAATAAACTGTGGCACATCCAGAGGATAGAATATTCTGCATTAAAAAGAGCCATGATGCCATGAACAACGTGGAGGAACTTTAAATGCACATTACTAAGTAAAAGAAGCCAAAGTGAGAGGGCTACTTACTGTTGGATTCCAAGTATGTGACATTCTGGAATAGGCAAAATTATGGCAAAAGTAAAAAGATTAGTGGCTTCCAGGAGTTTGGGGTGAGGGAAAAATGAATAACGTTGAGCACCGAGAATTTTTAAGGTAGAGGAATTGTTCTGTATGATACTGAGTAATACATGTCATTATACATTCATGAAAACCCAGAGACTGTACACCACCATGAGAGAACTAATGTAAATTACAGCATCGCAGACACTGCTGTGCCGAATGCAAATGAAAAAGATTATTTGTACAACAGGCAAAACCAAAAGTTGCTGCCATCAGTTTAATGAAATTTTATGGGAAAAAAATCAAACTCTGGAGAGGGAAAGGGCAAAACACAAGTGAGATTTCCAAGAATTCTAGATGGTTTCTCAGAGGTAAGTCAACATTTTGAATGCTTGCAGAGCATTCAAAAATCCTAGGATTTAAAAAAATGTGAGCAAAACTGGTTTTCTCAAGACCAATCCCAAGTTGAAACTCAATCACTATCTGACCACAGAAGCACAGTGTCATGCATCCCGACAGTAGCCCCCTTTACTCCATATAGTACTTGAAACCCTTCCCAATATCTTTGAACCAGGGTATCTTATGGAGGCAGCAATAAGGAGAACAGACTGAGAAGTGAGTTGCCAAGGTTGGTGGCTGAGTGACCAGCTGTATTATGCATATATTTTATTAAATGTGTAATGAGTGACAGGCACAGTGGTTCACACCTGTAATCCCAACACTTTGAGAGGCTGAGGCCAGAAGATCACTTGAGGCCAGGAGTTGAAGACCAGCCTAGGCAACAAAGTGAGACCTTGTCTGTACAAAAAATAAAATAGGCATGGTGGTATGGACCTATGGTCTCAGCTACACAGGAGGCTGGGGGAGGAGGGTTGCTTGAGCCTTGGAGGTCTAGGCTGAATGTACTTGATCATGCCATCGCACTCCAGCCTGGGCAACACAGTGAAACCCTGTCACTAAACAAGTAAATAACACATGACAGCTTTATTCCTTCTGTATGAAATATACAAAGTATATAAAGGATATAAGCAAAATTTTGCTAATCAGCTTGCAGCATGGCTGACAAGCACTTTTAATAATGCTATAAACAGTAGCACACAGCTAGTATCTGCTAATTACTCTGCATTATGCATAGGGGACATCTGGATTCTTTTGTTTAATCCTCTCATCTCTATGTAACATTACTGTTTACTGTGAAGAAACTGAGATTTAGACAGGTAAAGAAACCTACCCAAGGTTGCCCAGCTAGTGATTTCAGAGCTAGGACTGGAACCTAAGCTGTCTGATCTCAGAACTTAGGGCTGATTTACTCAGTGGGGTGTATTAAAATCTCCAGACCCTTCTTACCTTACGAGAAGGATGGGGGGGGAAGCTCAACAATGTTGAGTAGGTTGAACCCTGAGAGAAAATAGAATAAGACTCCAGATTTCTTGCTGTCAGCTTTGGAAAGAAAATGGAATTTTGTAGATCACTAAAATACACCACTGCCTGGCATCGTGAAGCTGCCCTAATCTTTCTCTGAAGTGAAGAATGTCCTGGAAAGGATGCTCTACAATAAAAGTAAAAAGACAAAACTACAAACCCACCTTCCCAGCACATGCCCATGGCAGAAACCAGTCTGGTGATCCTGTGGCTGAGCCAGGCTGGGAAGGGCGAGAGCCGGCACGTTATCCTTACGGCTGGTTGTGTGATCTTTACCTTTCCTGACTCTTTCCCTTCAGGGGAAACAGAATGGGAGTAGCTCTGCCGGTTATTTCAGATTGGAATCTAATTTAACAGCTC